GACTGGCACAGAGAAAGAACTGTTTCACATGATGACTGGCTCAGAGAGAGCTGTTTCACATGAACACATGCTGACTGGCACAGAGATGACTGTTTCACATTACCACATGCTGACTGGCACAGAGAAAGAACTGTTTCACATGAACACATGCTGACTGGCACAGAGAGGACTGTTTCACATGAACACATGCTGACTGGCACAGAGAGAGAACTGTTTCACATGAACACATGATGACTGGCAGAGAGAGAGAACTGTTTCACATTACCACATGCTGACTGGCACAGAGAAAGAACTGTTTCACATGAACACATTCTGACTGGCACAGAGAGAGAACTGTTTCACATGAACACATGCTGACTGGCACAGAGAGAGAACTGTTTCACATGAACACATGCTGACTGGCACAGAGAGGACTGTTTCACATGAACACATGCTGACTGGCACACAGAGAGAACTGTTTCACATGAACACATGATAACTGGCAGAGAGAGAGAGAACTGTTTCACATTACCACATGCTGACTGGCACAGAGAAAGAACTGTTTCACATGAACACATTCTGACTGGCACAGAGAGAGAACTGTTTCACATGAACACATGCTGACTGGCACAGAGAGAGAACTGTTTCACATGAACACATGCTGACTGGCACAGAGAGAGAACTGTTTCACATGAACACATGCTGACTGGCACAGAGAGAACTGTTCTACATGACCACATGCTGACTGGCACAGAGAGAGAACTGTTTCACATTACCACATGCTGACTGGCACAGAGAGAACTGTTCTACATGACCACATGCTGACTGGCACAGAGAGAGAACTGTTTCACATGAACACATGCTGACTGGCACAGAGAGAGAACTGTTTCACATGAACACATGATGACTGGCAGAGAGAGAGAACTGTTTCACATTACCACATGCTGACTGGCACAGAGAAAGAACTGTTTCACATGAACACATGCTGACTGGCACAGAGAGGACTGTTTCACATGAACACATGCTGACTGGCACAGAGAGAGAACTGTTTCACATGAACACATGATGACTGGCAGAGAGAGAGAGAACTGCTTCACATTACCACATGCTGACTGGCACAGAGAAAGAACTGTTTCACATGAACACATTCTGACTGGCACAGAGAGAGAACTGTTGTTTCACATGAACAGCCATGCTGACTGGCACAGAGAGAGAACTGTTTCACATGAACACATGCTGACAGCACAGAGAGGACTGTTTCACATGAACACATGCTGACTGCACAGAGAGAGAACTGTTTCACATGAACCATGATGACTGGCACAGAGAGAGAGAGTTGAACTGTTAAGGAATTACCACATGCTGTATCTGGCACAGAGAAAGAACTGTTGAAGTTTCACATGAACACATTGATGATCTGGCACAGAGAGAGAGACCTGTTTCACATGAACAGCCTTGCTGATCTGGCACAGAGAGAGACCTGTTGAAGTACATGAACACATGATGACTGGCACAGAGAGAGAACTGTTTCACATGAACACATGCTGACTGGCACAGAGAGAGAACTGAAGTCTTACATGACCACATGCTGACTGGCACAGAGAGAGACCTGTTAAAGTAGTTTAAGGAACAGCCTTGCTGACTGGCACAGAGAGAACTGTTGAAGTACATAACCACATGCTGAGTATCTGGCACAGAGAGAGACCTGTTTCACATGAACACATGCTGACTGGCACAGAGAGAGAACTGTTTCACATGAACACATGATGACTGGCAGAGAGAGAGAACTGTTTTCACATTACCACATGCTGTCTGGCACAGAGAGAGAACTGTTTCAAGAAGTATGCTGACTGGCACAGAGAGAGAACTGTTTCACAGAACACATGCTGACTAGCACAGAGAGAACTGTTTCACATGAACACATGATGACTGGCACAGAGAGAGACCTGTTGAAGTAGTATAAGGAACAGCCTTGATAGTATCTGGCACAGAGAGAGACCTGTTTCACATGAACACATGCTGAACAGCACAGAGAAAGAACTGTTTCACATGAACACATGATGACCTGTTGAAGAGAGAACTGTTTCACATGAACTTGATGCTGACTGGCACAGAGAGAGAACTGTTTCACAGAACACACGATGACTGGCACACAGAGAGAGAACTGTTTCACGAGAACACACAGCCTGACTGGCACAGCAGAGAGAGAGAACTGTTCTACATGAACCACATGCTGACTGGCACAGAGAGAGAACTGTTCTACATGACCACATGCTGACTGGCACAGAGAGAGAACTCTTTCACAGAGAACACATGCTGAAGGCACAGAGAGAGAACTTTCACATGAACACATGCTGACTGGCAGAGAGAGAGAAAGTAGTCACATGAACACATGATGACTGGCAGAGAGAGAGAACTGTTTCACATTACCACATGCTGACTGGAACAGAGAGAGAACTGTTTCACGGGAACACATGCTGACTGGCACACAGAGAGAACTGTTTCACATCACCACATGCTGACTGGCACAGAGAGAGAGCTGTTTCACATGAACACATGCTGACTGGCACAGAGAGAGAACTGTTTCACATGAACACATGCTGACTGGCACAGAGAAAGAACTGTTTCACATTACCACATGCTGACTGGCACAGAGAGAGAACTGTTTCACGAGAACATATGCTGACTGGCACAGAGAGAGAACTGTTTCACATGACCACATGCTGACTGGCACAGAGAAAGAACTGTTTCACATTACCACATGCTGACTGGCACAGAGAGAGAGCTGTTTCACATGAACACATGCTGACTGGCACAGAGAGAAAACTGTTTCACATTACCACATGCTGACTGGCACAGAGAGAGAACTGTTTCACATTACCACATGCTGACTGGCACAGAGAAAGAACTGTTTCACATGAACACATTCTGACTGGCACAGAGAGAGAACTGTTTCACATGAACACATGCTGACTGGCACAGAGAGAGAACTGTTCTACATGACCACATGCTGACTGGCACAGAGAGAGAACTGTTTCACATGAACACATGCTGACTGGCACAGAGAGAGAACTGTTTCAAATGAACACATGATGACTGGCAGAGAGAGAACTGTTTCACATTACCACATGCTGACTGGCACAGAGAGAGAACTGTTTCACATGAACACATGATGACTGGCAGAGAGAGAACTGTTTCACATTACCACATGCTGACTGGCACAGAGAGAGAACTGTTCTACATGACCACATGCTGACTAGCACAGAGAGAGAACTGTTTCACATGAACACATGCTGACTGGCACAGAGAGAGAACTTTCACATGAACACATGCTGACTGGCACAGAGAGAGAGAGCTGTTCTACATGACCACATGCTGACTAGCACAGAGAGAGAGCTGTTTCACGAGAACACATGCTGATTGGGACAGAAAGAGAACTTTCACATGAACACATGCTGACTGGCACAGAGAGAGAACTTTCACATGAACACATGCTGACTGGCACAGAGAGAGAACTTTCACATGAACACATGCTGACTGGCACAGAGAGAGAACTTTCACATGAACACATGCTGACTGGCACAGAGAGAGAACTTTCACATGAACACATGCTGACTGGCACAGAGAGAGAGCTGTTTCACAAGAACACATGCTGACTGGGACAGAGAGAGAACTTTCACATGAACACATGCTGACTGGCACAGAGAGAGAACTTTCACATGAACACATGCTGACTGGCACAGAGAGAGAACTTTCACATGAACACATGCTGACTGGCACAGAGAGAGAACTTTCACATGAACACATGCTGACTGGCACAGAGAGAGAACTTTCACATGAACACATGCTGACTGGCACAGAGAGAGAGAGCTGTTCTACATGACCACATGCTGACTGGCACAGGGAGAGAGAACTGTTTCACATGAACACATGCTGACTGGCACACAGAGAGAACTTTCACATGAACACATGCTGACTGGCAGAGAGAGAGAACTGTTTCACATTACCACATGCTGACTAGCACAGAGAGAGAACTGTTTCACATGAACACATGCTGACTGGCACAGAGAGAGAACTGTTTCACATGAACACATGCTGACTGGCACAGAGAGAGAACTGTTCTACATGAACACATGCTGACTAGCACAGAGAGAGAACTGTTTCACATGAACACATGCTGACTGGCACAGAGAGAGAACTGTTTCACATAAATACATGCTGACTGGCACAGAGAGAGAGAGAGAGCTTTCAATTGATTACACGCTGACTCTCATAGAGAGAGAACTGTTTCATTTGAACAATGCTGACTGCCAAAGATACAACGGTTTCACAAGAACACATGCAGACTGCACACAGAAAACTGTTTCACACGAACATATGCTGACTGCTACACCAAGAGACAAGTGTTGTGTCACATGCAGACCGCCACACAGAGAGATGACTATTATGTCACATGCAGACCGCCACACAGAGAGATGACTATTATGTCACATGCAGACCGCCACACAGAGAGATGACTATTATGTCACATGCTGACTGCCACACAGAGAGGGAACTGTCACATCACATGCTGACTGCCACACAGATAGGGGACTGTCACATCACATGCTGACTGCCACACAGAGAGGGGACTGTCACATCACATGCTGACTGCTGCTCAGAGAAGACCGTTGTATCACATCCTGACTGCCACAAAGAGAGAACTGTCACATCACATGCTGACTGCCACACAGATAGGGGACTGTCACATCACATGCTGACTGCCACACAGATAGGGGACTGTCACATCACATGCTGACTGCCACAAAGATAGGGGACTGTCACATCACATGCTGACTGCCACACAGATAGGGGACTGTCACATCACATGCTGACTGCCACACAGATAGGGGACTGTCACATCACATGCTGACTGCCACACAGATAGGGGACTGTCACATCACATGCTGACTGCCACACAGAGAAGACCGTTGTATCACATCCTGACTGCCACAAAGAGAGAAGACTGCTGTGTCACTAACCTACAAGCTCCTTGTTTTTCTCATCAATGGCAAGATTCCTCAAGGCAGTGGCTGTAGCACATACCACTCTATCACTCTCGGCCGACAGCAAGTCTACAAGGAGGGGCAGACCTTTTTCTTTCCTCACCATGGCTCGGCTATCAACTGCAGGCTGAGGAAGAGTTCCACAACAGAAACTATCTTCATTCTATGAACATGCTGAGTTGAAACTGACCATATAATATTAATAAACAATATATGACAGCAAATTTAACATTGCGCATACCTATACAATAGAGGAAAGACAAATCCACACACACACATGCACAATAAGCAAGAGACAAATCTAACACCCCAGACATACCTACAATAGACAGATCTAACCACACACAATACCCACACCCTACACAACAGACAAATCCAACTCCACACACATGATCTACACAAAAGGCAACAGACAAATCTAACACCCTAGATATAATAAGTAAGTTGATTATCTTTTACAGGAAGTTGCAGAACCATTCCTAGCATTTTTGGGCTGTTGTGGTTTTTTAAAGGCAATTTTACGTTCAGTAGTTTGCCATTGCTTTCTGGACGGTCGGCTTCTCAATGTCACTATCAAAACCAACGCAACGTCCTTAACTAGGATTGGATCAAGCACCCTGGTATTATGAAGCGTGTTTGCAACGCCTAAGCCAGAGATGCAGACACCCAAGTTATACCTACACAATAATGCAAAAACAAATCTAACAACAAACTGTTTTTGTTAATCTGCTCATTGTTGTTGCTGCTTTACCCATCCTGATATTAATTTCTTAGTCCAGTGATTGTTTGTTACTCACTGTGAAACAAAGGTAAAATGGTCACTTGTCTCCAGATATTCACCATCAATGTAGACTGTAGATCTATCATTAACAACTTGCACCCTAACCTTTGTCTTCTTTTTTGCTGATTGTTAGTTAAAGTTCATAGCATGCATCAGCAAATGCAGATAGTAAACACTGCAGCTCCTCCTATGAGTGGATGGCTATTTCTGCATCATCTGCAAACAGCAGTGCAAAAAATAGAGTTGCTAGATGACCATCCAATTAGACTTACACCATGTCAGATACCAGTTCATTATCAGACTATAGTTGATAAAGAAATCAGGCACATGGTAAAACTGTGAATTACAGAACCGTCAAATTCACTGTATTCCTTCCCGATGGATGTAGTTCGGAAGAAAGATGGATTAATACGACTTTGTATTGATTTCCGTAAACTGAATCAGATTATGGCTGTCGATGCAGAAAGTGTACAGAATATGGAGGAGTTATTTAATTCCTTGCGTAAGGTTAGATTTTTTACAAAGCCTGACTTAGCTAAAGATACTGGCAGATTTCTTTAGTCCAGTAATCGAAGAAGTATACTGCGTTCAGATCGAATATTGGTTTAATGCAGTTTCAATATTTAACATTTGGTCTCTTAAATGCTCCCTCTATGTTCAACAGGCTCACTGAAAAGTTGGTTCAGGTACATGTTGATGTCATTCAACACTCTGATGACATTTTATTGTTCCATGACAAATTACAAGACCAAATACATGGGTTAAGAACCATACAGAGAGTTTAGACTCAAAGTTATGCCTACAAAAGTTGAAGTAACTATAGAAGAGATTACCTTCCTAGGGCAAATTATAGGAAAAGGGTTGAGGAAGCAACTGTGGAGAGGTTCTTAAAGTTCCCTGTTCCTAGAACAAGGTAAGAGCATTATTGCGGTTGGGAAATTTTAACTCTAAATTCATCCCACACTACTTAACCATAACAGCTACACTGTCTTTGTTAACTAGGAAAGGTATGCCAAAAAAAGATAAAATGGACAGAGCAATGTGCAAAAGCATTACATGACTTACAAAGTTCATTCATTTGTATGTCATTGTTACGTTTGCCTGACTTATCTTTACATTCTCGTGTTTCATGTGACGCCTCTGACGTCGACCTGGGGGCCACCCTTATGCAAGAGCATGAAAGATTCTTGCATCCAATCTTGTATGCCGGCCGTAAGTTGACCCGGACAGAAACAAAATACAGTGTTGGACAACGTGAGGCCTTGGCAATTTACTACGCCATCTTCAAGTTTGCGAATTCCCTTTACAGATGTAGATTTACCATTTGGACTGACCATCAACCACCACAAGTCCTGAACTCAGGATCCGTTAGAAATGTGCGGATCTTCCAATGGTCAATGCTTCTCCATAGTTTTAGTTATGACATTACATATCCAAATGGAAATAAAAATGTGATGGCAGATTATATGTCGCGGTTGAACACAAGAGAAGTGTCACCGTATGCAGCAATAGTCCATGAATGTCAGTATTTTCAAAATAACTGAAAAATTGTTGCAATTAAATTTTTTATACTGAATACATAGATATGTTAAGATACTACTGATATTGAAATTACATGTTGATTATAATGTAGTATGTTTATAGAATCAACACACAACAAGACCTCTGACTCCACAACTGACAATATCACTATTTTGTTAGTTCTCAATTGTGGAAGGGAGGGGGGAATTTTATTGTGTGTCGATTGAGGGGGGGGGGGGGGGTATCAACACTGTTAATGTAAATTCTAGTACAGGCTTTGTTGACCAGGACCTGAGTCAATATTTGACTCTGTGTTAACTTAGGACAGGAGTTGACTGTTGGATGCATGAGGTGTCAACTGGCCTAGGTAAATAGTCATACTTAGTTCATGCCCAGCAAGACAGGGCATGAAGGTATGAAGGGAATCGTGCATGAGGGGATTGCCTCAATTATCACAAAGGACTCACACAGAACGCACACAGGTATATACTGGAGGGGAGTTGAGTCCAGAGCAGTTCAAGGCAGTCCAGAGCAGAGAGAGAGAGTTGTGTGTTCCTCTTGTCTTGAGTGACGACGCGTGTGACAGTCATGTTCACTACTGAAACAAGACAAGGATTCTACATACGAGGAGTGACCCCCCGTAGATGTTGGCTAGCTGCTGTGTGTTGATGGGACTCAAGAATTTGGAGTCCTGCTGGCGTGGCTGATTTGCTGTGTGCATACTGGGGAAACTTTAGTATTGTAGAGGTTCCTAGTCAGCCAAAGTAAAAGTGCCTGTTTCTGAGTATAGTAAAGGAGGTCAAGCTGAATATGCTAGATGGCGTGAGGGTTAGCCAGCGACTCAGGCACGGAGGCGGTGAGCTCGAGAGTCTGTTTAACAGCCAGTGTATTCAGTACGATGGAAGGCAGCCAGGACTGTGTTGGAGAATGGAAGCTTGATGAGGTTAATTCTATGTTAGCAAGCGTTTAGACATACGTGATATTGTTTATTTACAATAATTGTGTGAGGGTTGGTAGACCCGAACGTTCTTGTTAATAAATATATGACCAACAACCGTTGTTGAGTTATCCTGACGGTGCTAGTGTGGCAAAGTTTAAACGCAAATCATAACCTCAACTTTATATTTTCTATGCTGCAACCCAAATTTAACACCCAACAGTGTCTGTGCGTGCGCGTGCACGCACGTACACCAACTTTCCCCCTCACACACAGTAATGTGTGGATACTGTACACCTCAGCTATAACCCAAGTTGTGGACTAAAAAAATGATGTCTGGATACTGTACACCCCAGCTATAACCCAAGTTTTGGACTAAAACAATGATGTCTGGATACAGTACACCTCAGCTATAACCCAAGTTGTGGACTAAAACAATGTCTGGATACTGTACACCTCAGCTATAACCCAAGTTGTGGACTAAAACAATGTCTGGATTCAGTACACCTCAGCTATAACCCAAGTTGTGGACTAAAACAATGATGTCTGGATACAGTACACCTCAGCTATAACCCAAGTTGTGGACTAAAACAATGATGTCTTGATACAGTACACCTCAGCTATAACCCAAGTTGTGGACTAAAACAATGATGTCTGGATACTGTACACCTCAGCTATAACCCAAGTTGTGGACTAAAACAATGATGTCTGGATACTGTACACCCCAGCTATAACCCAAGTTGTGGACTAAAACAATGTCTGGATACAGTACACCTCAGCTATAACCCAAGTTGTGGACTAAAACAATGTCTGGATACTGTACACCTCAGCTATAACCCAAGTTGTGGACTAAAACAATGTCTGGATACTGTACACCTCAGCTATAACCCAAGTTGTGGACTAAAACAATGTCTGGATACTGTACACCTCAGCTATAACCCAAGTTGTGGACTAAAACAATGTCTGGATACTGTACACCTCAGCTATAACCCAAGTTGTGGACTAAAACAATGTCTGGATACAGTACACCTCAGCTATAACCCAAGTTGTGGACTAAAACAATGTCTGGATACTGTACACCCCAGCTATAACCCAAGTTGTGGACTAAAACAATGATGTCTGGATACAGTACACCTCAGCTATAACCCAAGTTGTGGACTAAAACAATGTCTGGATACTGTACACCCCAGCTATAACCCAAGTTGTGGACTAAAACAATGATGTCTGGATACTGTACACCCCAGCTATAACCCAAGTTGTGGACTAAAACAATGATGTCTGGATACTGTACACCCCAGCTATAACCCAAGTTGTGGACTAAAACAATGATGTCTGGATACTGTACACCTCAGCTATAACCCAAGTTGTGGACTAAAACAATGATGTCTGGATACAGTACACCTCAGCTATAACCCAAGTTGTGTACTAAACAATGATTTACAACCCAGCTATAAGAGACCTAACAGAAACAATGAAGAAATACATTGCTTACCTGCCAATCACATGCTGTCAAATTCTGGATGGCCCCTGCAGCTGCCTCCATTGTGATGGGATTTGTGCAGCGTCTCAACACAGTGGAGTACAACATGTGTATCTCTCCGCCCCACAGCGAGCGGTACTCTGTTGAGGTTGGGGGCAGTTGTAGTGGGGCACTGAAAGTAGACATCATCAAGGTTGTCACACACATATGGCACTCCTGAATGCCATCCCTCACTGTGTGTGTGTGTGTGTGTGTGTGTATGTTGCATCACTCACAATGTAAGTGTCATTATACACAATGTGCATGTCATCCCTCATGATGGGTACGTAATTCGAAAGAACAAACAAATGTACTTTACTTTCAAAGGGTCAGAAATTGGGCACAGTGGCCCTACCAAACACTCAACTGTACTTTACTAATAATGCATGCTATGTTCATATAATAACATGCTTAATATAAATATGAAGGTGGGTGGGGGGGATGGATGGTAAATGCACAAGCACATATGCCCACTCGCAAACATACATGAACACATACATACATGAATACATACATACATTATAATACTTCACAATGTGTGTAAGTCATCCCTCACAATGTGTGTATGTCATCCCTCACAATGTGTGTATGTCATCCCTCACAATGTGTGTATGTGGTCTCCCAGTATGTATGTGTGTCATCTCCCAGGGAGATAGTGTCATCTCACATAGTGTGTATCAACTTCCAGTATGTGTATGTGTAATCTCAGTGTGCATGTGAAATCTCCCGGTGTGTGTAATCTCCCACTCCCAGTGTATGCATCTCCCATGGTGTGTATCATCTTTGACAGTGTGTGTTATCTCCCACATTGTGTATGGGTGTGTGTCACTACTACACTGTGTCATCTTCCACAATGTGTGTGTCATCTCCTGCAGTTTGTGTATGCGTCACCTCACACAGTATGTGTCATCTATCACAATGAGTGTGTGTCATCTTCCACAGTTTGTGCCATCTCTCAAAATGTGTGTGTGTCACATCACACAGTGTGTGTGTTATCTTCCAGTGTGTATCAATACATGTATCATCTCCCACAGTTGGTAATCTCTGACAATGTGTGTGTTATTATCTTTTGCAATGTGTGAGGACATGTCTTGTAACTTCAGAAACTATTTTCCAAACCTCCTTTTTTTCTATGTATTCTAAAGTATAATCGAGGCAATCCATAATAGCCACTTAATTTCCCCGAGACTACAGCTCAAGTCCAACACCCAGACTCTTGTCCAGGGGTCAGCTGTTAATGGTGCAGATAACAATGAACAAGTTTACACACAGAAGCTGTAGGTTTTGTTGATAGAACTGTCAAATAATTATCTTCTGGCCAGAGACACTTAGGGGCAGCAACTGGTCATACAAGTAATTATCTCCCCTTTCTTGAACTGCAGGCATGGGCTAGGATTGTCACCTTTCAGTATGAGGTGTAAGCAGACAACCACAGACCAGGTGTCAGTGTATTTGGCAGACTGGGAATGTAGAGAGGAGGTGTGACTTTAGGTATACAAAGCTATGTCCAGCCAGATGGACAGTGGAAAGGCAAACAAGTGTTTGAGCCTTCTTGGCTAACAGGCAGATGGGAGGAGCTTTGACATCACTTGAACAAGAGAGGTTCAGGAGGAGAAATAGGAGGAGCTAACTCTGCTAGAGGACAGTTTAATGTAGTAAGGAGTCTAGAATTCATGTCAGACTGTTGCCAGCATGCCGACTGAGAGCTGCACTAGAAAGTTTTGTTAGTTGTGTGAGTCTTTTTGGCAAATCACTGACTTTTCCCAGTTGCTGTCAGGGCAAAGACCAGTATCAGATGGTCCAAGAGTAGGACCTGCTTGAAGCAGTGAGGACGACAGGCTGGAAAAAGTTAGATCCTGAGATCTGTCCCAGGTTTACTAGTTATGTAACGTTGACTGATCATGAGAACATCATGACACCATCCTCACTCTACTATCATTGCACGTATTGGGCTCATTGACTGGCTTATTACCATCACTGAGCTCATTGACTGACTTATTACCCTCACTGAGCTCATTGACTGACTTATTACCCTCACTGAGCTCATTGACTGACTTATTACCTTCACTGAGCTCATTGACTGACTTATTACCATCACTGAGCTCATTGACTGACTTATTACCCTCACTGAGCTCATTGACTGACTTATTACCATCACTGAGCTCATTGACTGACTTATTACCATCACTGAGCTCATTGACTGACTTATTACCATCACTGAGCTCATTGACTGACTTATTACCCTCACTGAGCTCATTGACTGACTTATTACCCTCACTGAGCTCATTGACTGACTTATTACCATCACTGAGCTCATTGACTGACTTATTACCATCACTGAGCTCATTGACTGACTTATTACCATCACTGAGCTCATTGACTGACTTATTACCCTCACTGAGCTCATTGACTGACTTATTACCATCACTGAGCTCATTGACTGACTTATTACCATCACTGAGCTCATTGACTGACTTATTACCATCACTGAGCTCATTGACTGACTTATTACCCTCACTGAGCTCATTGACTGACTTATTACCATCACTGAGCTCATTGACTGACTTATTACCATCACTGAGCTCATTGACTGACTTATTACCCTCACTGAGCTCATTGACTGACTTATTACCCTCACTGAGCTCATTGACTGACTTATTACCCTCACTGAGCTCATTGACTGACTTATTACCCTCACTGAGCTCATTGACTGACTTATTACCCTCACTGAGCTCATTGACTGACTTATTACCCTCACTGAGCTCATTGACTGACTTATTACCCTCACTGAGCTCATTGACTGACTTATTACCCTCACTGAGCTCATTGACTGACTTGTTATCCTCACTGAGCTCATTGACTGACTTATTACCATCACTGAGCTCATTGACTGACTTATTACCCTCACTGAGCTCATTGACTGACTTATTACCCTCACTGAGCTCATTGACTGACTTATTACCATCACTGAGCTCATTGACTGACTTATTACCATCACTGAGCTCACTGGCTGACTTATTACCATCACTGAGCTCATTGACTGACTTATTACCATCACTGAGCTCATTGACTGACTTATTACCCTCACTGAGCTCATTGACTGACTTATTACCATCACTGAGCTCATTGACTGACTTATTACCATCACTGAGCTCATTGACTAACTTATTACTATCACTGAGCTCATTGACTGACTTATTACCATCACTGAGCTCATTGACTGACTTATTACCATCACTGAGCTCATTGACTGACTTATTACAATCACTGAGCTCATTGACTGACTGCTTACCTTCACTGAGCTCACTGACTGACTGAGCTATTATCTTTTATGACTGCAAGATCAATACCATCTGTTTATTTTTGGTTAGATTTATTCAATAAAATCCTGTTCAAGTTTGTAAACTCACAGTTTGTTAACAATTATTTATGGTTCCATGTCGCTATGTTCAAGTTTGTAAACTCACAGTATGTTAACAATTATTTATGGTTCCATGTCGCTATGTTCAAGTTTGTAAACTCACAGTTTGTTAACAATTATTTATGGTTCCATGTCGCTATGTTCAAGTTTGTAAACTCACAGTTTGTTAACAATTATTTATGGTTCCATGTCGCTATGTTCAAGTTTGTAAACTCACAGTTTGTTAACAATTATTTATGGTTCCATGTCGCTATGTTCAAGTTTGTAAACTCACAGTTTGTTAACAATTATTTATGGTTCCATGTCGCTATGTTCAAGTTTGTAAACTCACAGTTTGTTAACAATTATTTATGGTTCCATGTCGCTATGTTCAAGTTTGTAAACTCACAGTTTGTTAACAATTATTTATGGTTCCATGTCGCTATGTACAAAATTAGTGTAATTTAACACTTTAATTTTAAAAGTTAAACAATCACTAACACACTTGGTGGCGGCATTTATTATAAATTAATACCAGGAGAGAAAAAAAGAAAGTCGGAGGGGTTAACTGTGTATCTTGAGATTCTCTCATTGAATTCATTTTAATATCTAACTATCCTTTTTCTACTCCTGTGGATACAAGTACAGCTACTTTCATTTTATTGTATGAGCTACTTTTGCTGTTTTCTTGGTTATCGAGGAATGTGTCTTGGATCAGAATACCTCAGATATTAATCCAGTTTTTTCATGTGGGTGTGCAGTGTGAGGATTCAAACCCACACAAACACTACATAAGTGTATATCCATGTGGGATCAGTAACACAATGTGTGTCTCACCTAACATAGTGTGTGTGTGTGTGTGTGCCTGTGTGTGTGATCTCCCTGTGTGTGTGATCTCCCAGTGTGTGTCATCTCTCCAAATGTAAGTGTCATCTCCCAGTGTGTCATCTCTCACAATGTGTGTGCCATATCTCACAACGGGTGTGTCTCCTCCCATAGTGTATGTGTGTCTCTACTCCCACAGTGTGTGTCATCTCTCACAATGTGTGTCATCTCTCACAATGTGTGTGTCATGTCCCACAGTGTGTCATCTTTCACAATATGTGTGTGTCATCTCTCACAATATGTGTGTGTCATCTCTCACAGATGTGTGTCATCTCCCACAGCGTGTATGTCATCTCTTACAGTGTGCGTGTTATCTCCAACAGCATTTGTGTAATCTTCCACAGCGTGTGCATCATCTCCCACAGCGTATGTGTCATCTCTCACAATGTGTGTCATCTCTCACAATGTGTGTGCCATATCTCACAACGGGTGTGTCTCCTCCCATAGTGTATGTGTGTGTGTGTCTCCTCCCACAGTGTGTGTCATCTCTCATAATGTGTGTGTCATCTCTCACGATGTGTGTGTGTGTCATCTCACAGACGTGTGTCATCTCCCACAGCATGTGTGTCATCTCCCACAGCGTGTATGCAATTTCCTACAGTGTATATGTCATCTCCTACAGCATTTGTGTCATCTCTCACAGCGTCTGCATCATCTCCCACAGCGTGTGTCATCTCCCACAGGGTGTGTGTCATCTCCGACAGCGTGTATGTCATCTCCCTCAGAGTGTGTGATGACTTCCACAGTGATACCCCCCCCCCGCTCCCGGTACTATATTTTAAACTTACCCCTGACGTCACTGGAGACATTCCCAAAAAATTCTAGGGTGTTGAGGTTGTGGTTTTTCTCCATCCAAATTCGCATCACAAAAGCTTGCACTTGACTATGACGTGCAGTGTTGCCAGTTTGGATGTTTTACATCCAAATTTAGATGTTTTAATTGCATTTAAATGGTATTTTTGACGTTTAGATGGTATTTGTTTTTCTAGATGCTTTTCATTTGGAGTTAAATATTAAATTTTTTCTTTCCTTGTCAGTTTAAAAATTACTGTGTAAAATATTTACTACAACATTTTTGTTTCGGTCTGGAACGTACAACATGCCAAAAGTAAAGTATGAGCAAACATTTTGGAACGAGTGGTTGCATGATGACAAAATTTAAGAATGAGTGATGGCAGTTCCCGGGAATATCACCAAGGCTCGTTGTAAGTACTGTCACAAATCGCACAAACCACGAATGATGTAGCTCCAGCAACGGTCAAATCATTATTTGTTTCGTTGCCGGCCCGGATTTGTTGTTAGTTGATTGGCCACCTTTTACTTCTGAGCAGGGCTGCCAATAAATGCCTTTCCCCCATGATCAATCTCCAAAATTTCTTTACCGATCGCATTCAAATTTTCACACAACATTGCGCGTGTTTGTATTAGGGTTGTACTGAATAGGGATTTTCACTGTTCGGCCGAAAACGAATAGTGGGACCAACTATTCGGCCGAATACGAATAGTGTATCATCATCATCAGGTGCCTTGCAGACTGGCGTAGGCCTTGTCACAATCTGCGATCTCCTGCAGCATGTATTAGTTCGTGTGCTGACGCACCTCCGTGCCATGCAACAAGACTGTCGAGAATCTTCTCTCGTTGTCTTCCTTTATCCCTTCTTCCACATATCTTTCCAGTGGTCACCACATGTTCTATTTTCCCTCATCTTATAACGTGGCCGAAAAATAATGACTGTCTCCTTCTGATGTATGTGATTAGAGTTGTCTTTGGGCTCCCGAATCTTTCAAAACCTCTTGGCTGCTCCCCCCCACCCCCCCACCCCCGCTGTCCAGTGCATTGTTATGTGAAACCACATCTCTGAGGCCTCAGGAAATTTTTGGCCTGCCTAACGATTGTCCAGGTCCAGGACTCACAGCTGAATGTTAAAACTGGATGCTGTACCATGCAACCAGGTCGCAGTTGCCCCCGCTACGACAGACTTAGGCAACAGCAACTACTGAGTTAATTAGAGAGTTATTTCAGTCTATCACTGTGTATGCAGAAGCAGGTGTAAGGTAACGACTATTCGTATTCGGCCAGACCCCAAGTATTCGGCCGAATACTGAATAGATATTAGGTCCACTATTCGGCCCCGAAGCGAATACGAAGGGAATATTCGGTACAGTCCTAGCTTGTATGTATGAGTTTTCCACAAACCAGGAATCACATAGCTCCAGCAACGATAATTTCATTAGTGGTTTCCTTACCGGCCCGGATTTGTTTTTAGTTGTTGGCCACCTTTGACTCTGATTTTGGGGTTTACAGCTAGCCTGCGACAGCGGCGACGTGATGCTCAATGTTCATGTCACAAGTAATATTTGTTCGCCCTTAAGAGGGTGGTTGGCACGTTGTGCTATGGTTTACAGCTAGGTTGCGATATCTGCGCCTTACGCCCAAAGACATCCGATTTCAGTTTAGTCAAAATTAGCCTCCCCCCGAAGCTTCACTTGATCAAAAACTATTCACTGATGACAGACACTGTTAACTAAGACGGCTTACGGTCCTGTTTGGTTTGGGTCGACACGGATGCCAAGGTTAATTAAAAATTGTCCCTTTGGAGAGGGAGAGATGACGAGTGCGGGTTTTTATTTCCGCTATTTGTAAGTATAGTGTACTTTTTTTTGGTGTGTCACTGAATATAACTGAGTTCCACCATTGGTTAAATAGTCCGTGGCGACAGCATGCGGCGCCAACTCCTCTGGCTACAACGACCTATGCAGACAGTAGTGACCGTTTTGTGTTGTTGTTGTGGCGGTGGTAGAGGTAGCAGTAGTACTGGTACTTGATGGGTGATGTGGTAGCTGTTACACTGGCCACATTTTACTTTTCAGTACAGATTAATGCTTCCAATTTTAGTCATATCAATAGCTATGTAATTTGTGACTCTTTCTATTTGGATTTTTTTCTAGATGTTTTCCACGCAAATTTAGATATTTTAAAATATTTTTTGACTCCGTTCTGGATGTTTTTTGTCAAAGAAAAGTGGCAACACTGATGTGGTGTGTTTACCGCTCTTTGCCGCGTCAGTCAGTTGCCGATGGTTCCAGCAGCAGTCACGATGAATCTTCTACAACTAGTTGCATCTGTACAAGACAAAGAAAGCAGCATTGCCTTCCTGCAACAGCATGGCATTCTGCACAGAACCAGAAGTTGCAGAAACAACCATCAGATGCTGCTTTCGCTGTCTGAAAGACACGACCGTTGGCGCTGTAGAAAGTCCACTTGTTGTCTGGACGTACCACTACGGCAAGGAACATGGCTGGAAGGATCACGGCTCCCGTATACACAGATCATTCTGTTTATATACTGCTGGTCTCACGAGATGACAAGCATTCACTTTTGCCAAGTAGAGCTGAGCATGTCGCCGACTACGACCATGGAATGGAGCAACTATTTTACGGGAGGTTTGTGCCAATACATTGTTTTTGAATGCTGCAGTGATCGGCGGAGAGAACACCACTGTTGAAATCGATGAAAGTCTCTTTGCAAGATGTACAAATAATGTTGGATGTGTGTTTCCACAACAGTGGGTATTTGGCGGAGTCTGTCGCGAGACGGGCGAATGCATTCTGGTCTGCATCCCAAACAGAAAAGTAGTTTCCGACATGTGGCGTGCATACAATGGAATTGAGAATATTCCTGGATTGACGCATCTTACCGTCAATCACTCCATTAATTTTGTCGACCCCACCACAGGTGCTCATACGCAATGCATCGAACGTTTGTGGAGGTCGAGCGTGAACCCTGCAGTATACATCTATATTGATTGGCCCTTTTAGGCCCCCCTTGCCTCCCCACCCCACAGTACCCCAGTTGGCATTTCCTGCGATTGCACATAGAGTTCACATAGCCAAAGCGCACATTTTACATGTTGTGGGGGGGGGGGGGGGGGGGGGGACAAACGCTGTGACAACAAAACAAAAAAAACACACACACACACAATTTACATTTCGTTTAAAAAAAAAGTTCACAATGAATAAAAACGCATCACGTAGGGATTGAACGCGGCATCTTTCATTTTAAAGGCAGATGTGATACCAGCTACTCTATACACTCACATGTTGACATGTTCTAAAAACATGACTAATATTGTAGACCGGCCAATTGCGCATCAACAAGCAGCCAAATGCGCACCAACAGAGAGAAATATGTCACACCATAAGACACTAGATGCAACACTCAACAACAGCAGCACACTTGCACCCCTTGAAATAATGGACTGTCAAGTGTCAGCTGTGGAATTTCCACAGGAATTTCCTGTTTGGGGTACATTATAAATTAAGAACCTGATACCCTGCCTGCTCACCTGTTGGGCTGACTTCCAGATTTGCTAGTCTGCATTGTCTTGGCCTTACTGGACTTGTTGCCGAAACATCCAGCACTACTTTCACTAGCTGCAGAAGTAAATAACATAATAATACATATTAGTGCTGGGAGAGTTACATAAACAATTATAGTCAATAACACACACCAGCAACACATCAATACAGTGACTAGTACTGCCAACACAGTAGCACTAAAACAGTACTTGACAACACAGTACCACAGCACAAATACAGTAACTAACACCGCCAACACAGTACCACAGCACAAATACAGTAACTAACACCGCCAACACAGTACCACTTACACAGTATTGCCAACACAGTTCCACTTACACATTCTGACAACACAGTACCACTAACATAGTACTGTTAACACAGTACTGCCAACACAGTACCACAAACACAGTACTGCCAACACATTACTGCCAACACAGTGCCACTTACACAGTAATGCCAACACAGTACCACTGACACAGTAATGCTAACACAGTACAACACCACCAACAAGGTACAACAATATCAATATGGTACAACAATATCAACATGGTACAACACCATCAACACAGTACAACATAACCAGCATGGTAAATACCACCAACGCAGTACAGCAACATCAACATGGTAAAACAACATTAATATGGTACAACAACACCAGCACAGTACAACAAAACTTACATAGTTGTCATGGGACAGCCCACACCCCTTTCACCTTAGACTGGTCTAGATCTTGTCACCTCTATGCAGATGAGGTTTAGTTTAAAAGTGGACTTGCCTCTTTAGGTAAATAGTCCTTCTTTTGTAATTATGTGTCTACATGTTGGGCTGAGTACTCAATTCTGTCCTAATTATCTTAAGAGAGATATACTCTTGAATTGAGAACCTTAGGTGGAAGATTCATTATTAGTGAAGCCAAAATCCAATGACCTAACTACCTCTTGGACGCGGATGAATCCCCTCATACCTCTATCGGGAGAGACTTAGTTTGAATTTATTCTTGACTGAGCTTCCTGAGAAGACGCATGCTTACTGCCTTTGTGTTGTATATTTGTCTATTTCTAGTGAAATCACTGATTCATACTAGAAGATCTTTTGAGCATGGGTAAATATATTATAGTTTATGAGTACTATATATGTAAACCCACTGTTGAGTGTAAGTCAGAGGTGGCTACGTGAAGTTATAGGAAGGTGCCATCTAACCATTCTAATTGCAGAGTGGCGCCTCAACTAAAAAAAAAAGCCGAAGTTATTATCTCCGGGGACTCCATCTATAGGGGTGAGACAGTTTGACCAGTAGACATCCCAGTTTCAATGTGTGTCTCGCCTTGTTGAAATGTAGTTAGCCCAATCTTCAGGCTGGGAGATATCTGGGTCAGCACACACCTATCGATCAGTTTAAAACGAGGTCAGGCTGATGCAGTAGGTTTGACGTCAGTGCTGACATTTTGTGTTGGAAAAAGGTTCACAGACTTGGAGAGGAAGGACTATATCTGCATTGTGCGCCTTTTCAGTGTTTTATATATAATTCTATATTCTTGTATTTCTGATATACTTGTTCTCTTATGACGATAAAACAATGATGTTGCACAGACTACGGCAGTCTTACAATCCTAGCACAGACCTCTGAGCTAAATGTATGTGCATATATGGAGAGGTGAAGAACTAGGTATGTAGGGTGATTGCTAATCCCGGTTTTCCCTTGTCACAGGATTTTAACTTCCTTGGAAGCCAGGTCGACAATCCTAGATCAACATAGTATGCAGCCTATCCTTCATCCAGCAGCCAGAAAAAAGGAAAATGGGTCTTAAGGTCACTCCTGTTCTGGCATCCTGTTGATGACGGTATAGTGACCATACTTTACTACCTGGACGAGTTCATCCCCAGTGTGTTGTGTGGAAGTCCAGAAGTTGTCTGGCTTCTGTTCTGCCTATACCTGAGGCACCAGACTGTAGTGTAGTAATAATTATTACGGACTCTAGACCCGTGATATACCCAGGACAGTGACAGGGTATCTATTTCTTAATTTATTCAGTGTGTCCAGTCAGGACTGACGTATGCTGTTTTCCAAAGTTAAGAGGAGTTCGTGAGTCAATACACCAGCTTTCCTAGAAGTGAAGTATCAGCACCTGTTGTTAATCCTTCACCTAACGAGAAAAACAAGTAATGGAGAGAAATCTTATTTTCTGCTCGTGTAATGACAGTTGATATAAGCACCATCACTGAGGAAAAAAAATAATACATGGCACAGAGAGAAAAAAAAGCAACGAGATAAATCTTACTTTTGCTTGTCTTCCCCTTAGTTGTCTGCCCATGTTGCCTAGGCAGGCTGCGTTTCTTGTAGAAATCTGGGTCGACCACCTCCTGGATGCGGTAGGACAAGTTGCGGAGGACACACACTGTGTTTTCTACCACTTTGTTGTCAATGTGGTTGCTAGTTGTGTCTTCGGCTGCCAGTTTCAAGATGTATATCAGAGCATTTACCAAACCTTTGCACTCTCGCAATCTCTTCCGGGCATCAAAACCTGCAGAGCTGACGTTTCTGAGCCAGAAAATAATTGTCTATAATGAAGGTGTGGATGCAGCAAGAGACATTACCATATAGCTAGACACCACCACACAGCTCAAAATATTCCAACACAACCTCACATATCACAAAACAGCTTCACACACCACCACAGCTGAGCATATCCCAACAAAGCTGTACACCCCAACACACAGCTGTACACATATCATACAAATGAGCATATCCCAACACAACTGAAAATATCATTACACAGCTGTACCCAGACCACGTAGTTGAACACCCATAAACAAAACTACAACACACAGAGATAAGATTCACACAGAAAAGAGTCAAATAATCACACAGAAAACTACAACACTCACCGAAGTATGCCAGTTGTGTTACGACAGACAGTTGTCCATGGCAACTGAGACGAGGAACTGCCTAGTGCACTCCAGCCAGAATACTTTAAGATGACATTGTTGACCAATACTGTGAGACCGTCTTCAATGACAGACAGTTTCAGGTCCTGTATGCCGAGTTAAACCATATTCAGTAGACAGATATTAGAGTTAGACCATCTTCAATAGACAGACAGATTTAACAAACAAACAGTCAAGTTAGATTAGATCATCTTCAAAAGACAAACAGCAGAGTTAGACTATCTTCAATAGACAGACATATTTAACAGACAGACAGCAGTTCAATTCAGTTCAATTTTCACCATGTCAACGTTTAACTTGTCTTGTCTTGTCCACAATTGCCTCACAGCGTAGTGGGGAGTCGCAGTTTTCTATCCTGGGCCAGGTGTGTTGCATGTGTTGTTGTTAGTCCGTGTTGCCTCAGGATCTCTGATATATTGTCTATCCATCGTACTCTCGGTCTGCCTCTTGCTCTAGTTTAACTAAGGGTGGGAAACCATTGCTGATCTCTGCCCTTTTCTGTTCTATTTGTGGAGGCAGTTCAGGTTGTCACTGGATCAGCTTGGAGTTCTTTGCTGAACTTTTCCTTTTGTTCATTGGCTTTAAGCAATTTTGCCTCTGTTTCTGCTAGGGTTTTCTTTGTCGAGGTGACCGGTCAAGAGTATCTGTTGGGTAACTTTCATTTCTTTGATGTTAGTCTCCGTTTCTTTGGTTCTCTGCCTCTTCAGATTCTGAATGGCATTCAGTATGGCTATGATGTTGATTTTGAACTTCACTATGTCTGTGCTTTCTGCTTCCAGATGTTTCTAAGATTCAAAGAATGCCTGCATGATGCTGCAAATATCAGTCATCTCGTCTCTCTCCTGGTCACTTTGTACAATGCTTTCTCGTCACAGAGGGCTTGTATTTTGTTTTTTAAGAGAGTAATCTCGTTCTCGAGTTCGGTGGTGACTGCTGCTGCCACGCCTTTGGGTGCCACGTGTCTCTTGCGGGCCTCATGGTAGGAGATGTTTTCCCGGATGGCTGTGTTTGTGATGTCTTGGCATTGCTGGAGATAGGGGCAACCTAGGTACCTGACTCCGTGCTGGCCGGAGCAGTTTGCACATTTCCTGTTGATCTTTAGTGATCTGAAGTCTTGGTCCCATTTTGCTAGGGGGCAGTCACTGAAGGCGTGTTGCTCTAAACAGTACCTGCAGATTTCTTGCTCAATCACACTCACAAGTGGTACCAAAGTGCCAGACTTTCTGTCATAACAATTGCACTCGTGAACTCAAGGGCACAGTTGTGAAACTTACTCATGACCTTCAGAGCGCGAGGCAAACAACATTTTCTCCATCTATGAGACAGACAGTAGAGTTAGTCCATCTTTAGTTTCAGGTTCTAAACAGAGGTGATGGCAGTACGACAGACAAGTACTACTAAATACAACATAAAATAAAGTTCAAAACATTATACAGTGTCCTAGACTGTACAATGAAAGGCCAACCCCAACCCTTATAGACTTTTCCAGACACAACAAATGAAAGCCAACTCTCTACTTTCATTATACACCGTCCATGATAGAACAAATGAAAGCCAACTCTCTAGTTTCATTATACATTGTCCCAGACAGAACAAAGGAAAGCCAACTCTCTAGTTTTATATACACTGTCCATGATAGAACAAATGAAAGCCAACTCTCTAGTTTCATTATACATTGACCCAGACAGAACAAATGAAAGCCAACTCTCTAGTTTTATTATAAACTGTTTCAGAAAGAATAAATAGATAATGAAAGACAAACCCCCCCCCCCCCCAATCATATACTGTTCCAAATAGAAGAAATGAAGAACAATCCCTACCCCCCAATCTTTGCTATACAAATGAGAACAGTGATTACTTCACAGGAGGAAAGATTCACAGTTCCAGACAGAACAATGAAGGCCAACTCCCCAGTCTGCTATACAAATAAGAACAGTGATTACTTCACAGGAGGACAGGTTCACAGTCCCAGACAGAACAATGAAGGCCAACTCCCCAGTCTGCTATACGAATAAGAACATTGATTACCTCACATGAGGACAGGTTCACAGTCCCAGACAGAACAATGAAGGCCAACTCCCCAGTCTGCTATACAAATGAGAACAGTGATTACCTCACAGGAGGAAAGATTCACAGTCCCAGATAGAACAATGAAGGCCAACTCCCCAGTCTGCTTTACAAATAAGAACATTGATTACTTCACAGGGGGAAAGATTGACAGTCCCAGATAGAACAATGAAGGCCAACTTCCCAGTCTGCTATACAAATAAGAACATTGATTACCTCACAGGAGGAAAGATTCACAGTCCCAGATAGAACAATGAAGGCCAACTTCCCAGTCTGCTATACAAATAAGAACATTGATTACCTCACATGAGGACAGGCTCACAGTCCCAGATAGAACAATGAAGGCATGCTCCCCAGTCTGCTTTACAAATGAGAACAGTGATTACCTCACAGGAGGAAAGATTCACAGTCCCAGATAGAACAATGAAGGCCAACTCCCCAGTCTGCTATACAAATAAGACCAATGATTACCTCACAGGAGGAAAGATTCACAGTCCCAGATAGAACAAAAAAGGCCAACTCCCCAGTCTGCTATACAAATAAGAACAATGATTACCTCACAGGAGGACAGGTTCAGTCCTAGACAGAACAATGAAGGCCAACTCCCCAGTCTGCTATACAAAAAAAATACATTGATTACTTCACAGGAGGAAAGATTCACAGTCCCAGATAGAACAATGAAGGCCAACTCCCCAGTCTGCTATACAAATAAGAACAATGATTACCTCACAGGAGGAAAGATTCACAGTCCCAGATAGAACAACGAAGGCCAACTCCCCAGTCTGCTATACAAATAAGAACAATGATTACCTCACAGGAGGACAGGTTCAGTCCTAGACAGAACAATGAAGGCCAACTCCCCAGTCTGCTATACAAAAAAAAATACATTGATTACTTCACAGGAGGAAAGATTCACAGTCCCAGATAGAACAATAAAGGCCAACTCCCCAGTCTGCTATACAAATAAGAACAATGATTACCTCACAGGAGGAAAGATTCACAGTCCCAGATAGAACAACGAAGGCCAACTTCCCAGTCTGCTATACAAATAAGAACAATGATTACCTCACAGGAGGACAGGTTCAGTCCTAGACAGAACAATGAAGGCCAACTCCCCAGTCTGCTATACAAAAAAAATACATTGACTACTTCACAGGAGGAAAGATTCACAGTCCCAGATAGAACAATGAAGGCCAACTCCCCAGTCTGCTATACAAATAAGAACAATGATTACCTCACAGGAGGAAAGATTCACAGTCCCAGATAGAACAACGAAAGCCAACTCCCCAGTCTGCTATACAAATAAGAACAATGATTACCTCACAGGAGGACAGGTTCAGTCCTAGACAGAACAATGAAGGCCAACTCCCCAGTCTGCTATACAAAAAAAAATACACTGATTACTTCACAGGAGGAAAGATTCACAGTCCCAGATAGAACAATGAAGGCCAACTCCCCAGTCTGCTATACAAATAAGAACATTGATTACCTCACATGAGGACAGGTTCACAGTCCCAGATAGAACAATGAAGGCCAACTCCCCAGTCTGCTATACAAATGAGAACAGTGATTACCACCTAGGAGGAAAGATTCACAGTCCCAGATAGAACAATGAAGGCCAACTTCCCAGTCTGCTATACAAATAAGAACAATGATTAGCTCACAGGAGGAAAGATTCACAGTCCCAGATAGAACAATGAAGGCCAACTTCCCAGTCTGCTATACAAATAGGAACAATGATTACCTCACAGGAGGAAAGATTCACAGTCCCAGACAGAACAATGAAGGCCAACTTCCCAGTCTGCTATACAAATTAGAACAGTGATTACCTCACAGGAGGAAAGATTCACAGTCCCAGATAGAACAATGAAGGCCAACTCCCCAGTCTGCTATACAAATAAGAACAATGATTACCTCACATGAGGACAGGTTCCAAAGCACGCCAGTCACAGACTCTTTCACATCCTCTTGGTCTGTCTTCCTCAACAACCGGATCAGTTCTGGAATGCCATTCTCATTTTTTATTGTTCTCTAGAAAGAACAAACAAAACAAGGACTTTCTGATATCATATTTAATGATTACATAAACTAATCCAAATATAACATTAATGCCATAGATGACATAAACCAACAACCACAAGAACATCCTAGACTGCTGACTAGTAGCAGGAGGTTGTTCTAACACAACAACTACCAGAACATCCTAGACTGCTGACTAGTAGCAGGAGAGTGTTGTAACAAAAGTAAAGAAACATCATAGCTCTAGACTGCTGACTGGTAGCAGGAGAGTGTTGTAACAAAAGTAAAGAAACATCATAGCTTTAGACTGCTGACTGGTAGCAGGAGAGTGTTGTAACAAAAGTAAAGAAACATCATAGCTCTAGACTGCTGACTGGTAGCAGGAGAGTGTTGTAACAAAAGTAAAGACACGTCATAGCTCTAGACTGCTGACTGGTAGCAGGAGAGTGTTGTAACAAAAGTAAAGAAACGTCATAGCTCTAGACTGCTGACTGGTAGCAGGAGAGTGTTGTAACAAAAGTAAAGAAACATCATAGCTCTAGACTGCTGACTAGTAGCAGGAGAGTGTTGTAACAAAAGTAAAGACACGTCATAGCTCTAGACTGCTGACTGGTAGCAGGAGAGTGTTGTAACAAAAGTAAAGAAACATCATAGTTATAGACTGCTGACTAGCAGCAGGAGAGTGTTGTAACAAAAGTAAAGACACGTCATAGCTCTAGACTGCTGACTGGTAGCAGGAGAGTGTTGTAACAAAAGTAAAGAAACATCATAGCTCTAGACTGCTGACTAGTAGCAGGAGAGTGTTGTAACAAAAGTAAAGACACGTCATAGCTCTAGACTGCTGACTGGTAGCAGGAGAGTGTTGTAACAAAAGTAAAGACACGTCATAGCTCTAGACTGCTGACTGGTAGCAGGAGAGTGTTGTAACAAAAGTAAAGACACGTCATAGCTCTAGACTGCTGACTAGTAGCAGGAGAGTGTTGTAACAAAAGTAAAGAAACATCATAGCTCTAGACTGCTGACTAGTAGCAGGAGAGTGTTGTAACAAAAGTAAAGAAACATCATAGCTCTAGACTGCTGACTGGTAGCAGGAGAGTGTTGTAACAAAAGTAAAGAAATGTCATAGCTCTAGACTGCTGACTGGTAGCAGGAGAGTGTTGTAACAAAAGTAAAGAAATGTCATAGCTCTAGACTGCTGACTGGTAGCAGGAGAGTGTTGTAACAAAAGTAAAGAAATGTCATAGCTCTAGACTGCTGACTAGTAGCAGGAGAGTGTTGTAACAAAAGTAAAGAAATGTCATAGCTCTAGACTGCTGACTGGTAGCAGGAGAGTGTTGTAACAAAAGTAAAGAAACATCATAGCTCTAGACTGCTGACTAGTAGCAGGAGAGAGTTGTAACAAAAGTAAAGAAACATCATAGCCCTAGACTGCTGACTGGTAGCAGGAGAGTGTTGTAACAAAAGTAAAGACACGTCATAGCTCTAGACTGCTGACTGGTAGCAGGAGAGAGTTGTAACAAAAGTAAAGAAACATCATAGCTCTAGACTGCTGACTGGTAGCAGGAGAGAGTTGTAACAAAAGTAAAGAAACATCATAGCTTTAGACTGCTGACTAGTAGCAGGAGAGTGTTGTAACAAAAGTAAAGAAACATCATAGCTCTAGACTGCTGACTGGTAGCAGGAGAGAGTTGTAACAAAAGTAAAGAAACATCATAGCTCTAGACTGCTGACTAGTAGCAGGAGAGTGTTGTAACAAAAGTAAAGACACATCATAGCTCTAGACTGCTGACTGGTAGCAGGAGAGAGTTGTAACAAAAGTAAAGACACATCATAGCTCTAGACTGCTGACTGGTAGCAAGACAGTGCACTAACACAAGTACAGGAACACCGAAGCAGGAGATACAGCAGACTGTGTCGGTACTCACCTTGTTCTCATTATTGTTCTTGCCATAAGAGAGGTTCTGCAAGGCACCGCAGGCGTTCTTGTGTACATCCACTAGGTCATGACTCAAGAGGCGAATCAATGGCGGGATGCCTCCTAGACTCCTGATTGATGGAGAGCAAACATTTGTTAAACGTGCTTTCCCTTTTGAGGAGGGAGAGGGTGGAAGGGGAAGAAAAGAAAAACAAGAGACACAAGAAATAAACAGATGAATGAATAAGATCCCAGCCAACAGCAACTACAATAAACAGACAAAATAAGAAATCTAGTTGCTGGTAGCCAGATCCCAGCCAACAGCAACTACAATAAACAGACAAAATAGGAAGTCTAGTTGCTGGTAGCCAGATCCCAGCCAACAGCAACTACAATAAACAGACAAAATAAGAAGTCTAGTTGCTGGTAGCCAGATCCTAGCCATCAACTACAAAAAACAGACAAAATAAGAATTCTAATTGCTAGTAGCCAGATCCTTGCCATCAACTACAATAAACAGATAAAATGAGAAGTCTAGTTACTTGTAGCCAGATCATAGCCATCAACTACAATAAACAGATAACATGAGAAGTCTAGCTGCTGGCAGCCAGCTCCCAGCCAACAGCAACTACAATAAACAGATAACATAAGAAATCTGGTTGCCGGTAGCCAGATCCCAGTTCAAAAACTGCAATAAACAGATAACATAAGAAGTCTAGCTGCTGGTAGCCAGAGCCCAGTCCAACATCCACAAGGACTGGTTCGATGCTCACCTGGTCTTGGCCTTGATGGCATCATCCATGTAGGTGATATGTTGTAGGTGAGCTGCAGCGCTGGCTTTGATGCTGTCATCGGGAGAGGACAAGAAGTCAATCACCTCTTGCAGATCTGGGAACCTCACATGTGAGGCTGGGCAGATACAAAATACTTTGTTAGAACTCTACAAATGACATGTAAATAAAATGAGATGTAAAACTAGAGACTTAAGAGAGACAGCTTCCCGACAATGGAACTACTCTATTGTTTATCCAGCTGCCTAGTCAGTACATAGAAGGGTGCTTATGTATGACGCACGGCAACAGGTGTAGTGATGTCTATGAAAACTTATCACAGTAAGTCAGAGGCTGTACAACTGACTCTCCAGTACACACATGTCAATGACAAGACCTAGTGATGAACTACTTCTAGGTAATGAGTTCTTACTTACTTACTTAGTCGCTCCTCTTCTACCTTGGGGTGTAGAGGTTTTCCAGAGAGATCGCCAGACGTCTTTATCAGCAGTTTTCTTTCTGGCTTTGTTCGATTCCAGTCCTCTGTCAGTTAGGGACTGTCGGATGTTGTCTTCCCAGCGCACCCTGGGTCGTCCCGGAGGTCTGGTTCCCTGGTTCTTAGCCTCCCATGCTTGCCATGGTGGCCGATTTTCTCCCATTCTGCATACATGTCCAAACCATCGTAACTGTGACTGATCTACTCGGGTTAGTAAGGGCTGGGTATCAAGATCTTGACGTATTGTCTGATTGCGGACTTTGTCCTTTCTTGTCACTTGGACCACCTTTCTCAGGTATCTCATTTCCGAGGCCTGCAGCTGGCTTCTGTGAGCTGTTGTCATTGCCCATGACTCACACTCATAGGTCAGGACTGGTACATAGGTAGAGCGGTAAACAGCCATTTTCGTCCTCTTGCCAATTTTTCTTTTGCTAAGAAACCCTCGGTTTATGGCCTGGAAGAGTCTCCCAGCAGCTGCTTTTCATGTAGTTAGCTCAGTCTTAATGCCTCCATTTTGGTCTAATACAACTCCAAGGTATTTGAACTGGTTAACCTGCTCCAACGCATACTGTCCCATCATGATCTGGTGTTTCTTCTCCTCTCTTGAGATCACCATGGTTTTAGTTTTGGAGACACTGATGGTCATCCCTTCCTTTTCAAGCTCTTCCTTCCAGACAAGTAAGTTGGACTGAAGGTGTGCCTCTGATTTAGCTATCAGGGCCACATCGTCTGCAAAAGCCAGCTCTGATATACAGATTGGTCTCATCTTCCAGTACCCTACAGAGTACTTCTTTGTCTTCTCCTTACAGGTCTTGATGACATCATCCATCATAAGAATGAAGAGGTAAGGTGAGAGAATATCACCTTGTCTAACACCGCTGGCAGTCTTGAATTCTTCTGACTTTTGGTCTGCTGTTCTTACATAATTTCTGCACTTTTTGTAGAAACTCTGTATTGCACTGATCAGGGGTGCTGGGATGTTTTTCCCTGCCAAGCAGTCCCAGAGCTTGTTCCAGGGTACCTTGTCAAATGCCTTTTCCAGATCCAAAAAACATAAGTGCATCTCACTCTTATATTCTAGGGCTTTTTCACTCATCTGTCTCAGTGTGAAGATAAGATCTTGAGTACTTCGGTTTGCTCTGAAGCCGCATTGGGCCTTGTCCAGCTGTGGCTCTACCAGACTTCTAAGTCTCTGCTCAAGTCTCTGCTCAGTAATCAGTTCTACTGTGAGTTAACTACTTTTATCAAATCAGTTCTATCAGTTCTATTGGTGAGTTAATTAGTTCCATTGGTAAGTTAACTACTTTCAGGTAATCAGTTCTCTTGGTAAGTTAACTACTTTCAGGTAATCAGTTCTCTTAGTGAGTTTACTTTCAGGTATTCAGTTCTATTGGTGAGTTAACTAGTTTCAGGCAATCAGTTCTATTGATGAGTTAACTACTTTCAGGCAATAAGTTCTCTTGGTGAGTTAACTAGTTTCAGGTAATCAGTTCTATTGGTGAGTTAACTACTTTCAGGTAATCAGTTCTATTGGTGAGTTAACTACTTTCAGGTAATCAATTCTATTGGTGAGTTAACTAGTTTTGGGTAATCAGTTCCATTGGTAATTAGTTCTGTTGGTGACTTAATTGACTTCATTACAGGTGACATAATGCTATCATCATTGCTCTATAAAACTCCATCTCTGTAGACCCCACATAAATATCCACTAATTGGATGGCTGTCAATGATTCATTTCTGTACAGTATAGGATTATACATTTCTCAACAACTCTTTCCTTTTCTCCCTTGACAAAGATAGACTGCAGAGAATTTTCATTTTCATATGACATGTCATGTTTGCTTAAGCTGTTCTACACTGAACTTCCTTCAATTATTTTCAAGCTGTTGTCATGGTATCTAGGTATGTAAATGTAGTGGTTTACTTCAGGCATATTCCATTTACTTGGAAGTTGTATTCTGGAGCATATTCTCTTTGTAATTGATGTTACTAATGTTTTTACACACTTGACACACACGTCAACCACATATTCAGACAAACAGGTCAAACACATTTTCAGAACGACAAGTAAGGCACACATTCAGACAGACAGGTTAACTACACATTCAGACAGACAGGTTAACTACACATTCAGACAGACAGGTTAACTACACATTCAGACAGACAAGTTAACTATACATTTAGACAGACAGGTTAACTACACATTCAGACAGACAGTTAAACTACACATTCAGACAGACAGGTCATCTACACATTCAGACAGACAGGTCAACTACACATTCAGACAGACAGGTTAACTACACATTCAGACAGACAGGTTAACTACACATTCAGACAGACAGGTCATCTACACATTCAGACAGACAGGTCACCTTTGAAATGTAGACAGACAGGTTAACTACACAGACATTCATGCAACCACAAAGACAGACAGGTTAACTACACAGACATTCATGCAACCACAAAGACAGACAGGTTAACTACACAGACATTCATGCAACCACAAAGACAGACAGGTTAACTACACAGATATTCATGCAACCACAAAGACAGACAGGTTACTACACATCCAGACAGGTACGTGCTACTCACAATAGCCTCTGCTATCCACCGAAGGAGTCCGCCTGTCATCAGATGTGGGTGCACCTAGTGTCAGCTGCTCCAATTTATGAGCAGCCTCATCGTCTGGCAAATATGAGTCATCCTGTGCGTATGGGAGGCTTCTGTCCGCTGCTGGATAGTCTGCATCTAAGAAGAAAGCACAGCAGTAGTGAAACCTTCACCACATAAATGTATAATCTATCTTGCAGTGAAACCTTCACCACATAAATGTATAATCTATCTTGCAGTGAAATTTTCACCATATAAATGTATAATCTATCTTGCAGTGAAACCTTCACCACATAAATGTATAATCCATCTTGCAGTGAAATTTTCACCATATAAATGTATAATCTATCTTGCAGTGAAACCTTCACCATATAAATGTATAATCTATCTTGCAGTGAAACCTTCACCACATAAATGTATAATCCATATTGCAGTGAAATCTTCACCACATAAATGTATAATTCATCTTGCAGTGAAATCTTCACCACATAAATGTATAATCCATCTTGCAGTGAAACCTTCACCACATAAATGTATAATTCATGTTGCAGTAAAATCTTCACCACATAAATGTATAATCCATCTTGCAGTGAAATCTTCACCACATAAATGTATAATTCATCTTGTAGTGAAATCTTCATCACATATATGTATAATCCATCTTGCAGTAAAATCTTCACCACATGAATGTATAATCCATCTTGCAGTAAAATCTTCACCACATAAATGTATAATTCATCTTGCAGTGAAATCTTCATCACATAAATGTAGAATTCATCTTGCAGTGAAATCTTCACCACATAAATGTATAATTCATCTTGCAGTGAAACCTTCACCACATAAATGTATAATTCATGTTGCAGTGAAACCTTCACCACATAAATGTATAATCCATCTTGCAGTGAAACCTTTACCACATAAATGTATAATTCATGTTGCAGTGAAATCTTCACCACATAAATGTATAATTCATCTTGCAGTGAAACCTTCACCACATAAATTTATAATCCATCTTGAAGTGAAATCTTCACCACATAAATGTATAATTCATCTTGTAGTGAAATCTTCATCACATATATGTATAATCCATCTTGCAGTAAAATCTTCACCACATGAATGTATAATCCATCTTGCAGTAAAATCTTCACCACATAAATGTATAATTCATCTTGCAGTGAAATCTTCATCACATAAATGTAGAATTCATCTTGCAGTGAAATCTTTACCACATAAATGTATAATTCATCTTGCAGTGAAACCTTCACCACATAAATGTATAATTCATGTTGCAGTGAAACCTTCACCACATAAATGTATAATCCATCTTGCAGTGAAACCTTCACCACATAAATGTATAATTCATCTTGCAGTTAAACCTTACCCACATAAATGTATAATTCATCTTACAGTGAAATCTTCATCACATAAATGTATAATTCATCTTGCAGTGAAACCTTCACCACATAAATGTATAATTCATCTTGCAGTGAAATCTTCACCACATAAATGTATAATCCATCTTGCAGTAAAATCTTCACCACATAAATGTATAATTATCTTGCAGTGAAACCTTCACCACATAAATTTATAATCCATCTTGCAGTGAAATCTTCACCACATAAATGTATAATTCATCTTGTAGTGAAATCTTCATCACATATATGTATAATCCATCTTGCAGTAAAATCTTCACCACATGAATGTATAATCCATCTTGCAGTAAAATCTTCACCACATAAATGTATAATTCATCTTGCAGTAAAATCTTCACCACATAAACGTATAATTAAACTTACAGTAAAACCATTATCACATAAATGTATAATTCATCTTGCAGTGAAACTGACTTTTTGTGTGGCTGTAGCAAAACAGAAAATTATATATATTTATCAGACTTAGAAATTGCTGTGAGGACACAACATGAACAAAATCAGGTATGGAGATGATACAGTAATCAGTGCAGACAATGATGAACAGGATATGCCGCCCTGAGTGGATGCTAGGGTCTGAATTAATCTGTCACAGAATACTCTTCAAAAAAGTAAGAAATAATACAGTATAATATCCAAGTTAATAAGAATAGTCTTGAACAAGAAATCAATACATATATCAGAACCGTAACAACATCAAGCAACAGATAGCTTGCAGAGATCAGAATAAAAGTTGTCAACTGCAAGGAGAGAAAATAATCAGGTAACCGCAGATCCAACTTCACAGAATAAAACAAAACCAGTGACTACAACTATGACCAAGCCAACAAAACCAGTAACTGCAACTATGACAAAGCCAACAAAAATAACAAAAACAGTGACTACAACTGTGGCCAAGCCATCAAAACCAGTGACTACAAGTAGGACCAGGCCAGTGACTACAACTATGACCAAGCCAAAAAGCCAGTGACTAAATCTATGACCAAGCCAACAAAACCAGTGACTACAACTATGACCAAGCCAAAAAAACCAGTGACTAGAACAGTGACCAAGCCAACAAAACAGTGACTACAACAGTGACCAAGCCAACAAAACCAGTGACTACAACAGTGACCAAGCCAACAAAACAGTGACTACAACTGTGACCAAGCCAACAAAACAGTGACTACAACTGTGACCAAGCCAACAAAACAGTGACTACAACAGTGACCAAGCCAACAAAACCAGTGACTACAACAGTGACCAAGCCAACAAACCAGTGACTACAACTGTGACCAAGCCAACAAAACAGTGACTACAACAGTGACCAAGCCAACAAAACCAGTGACTACAACAGTGACCAAGCCAACAAACCAGTGACTACAACTGTGACCAAGCCAACAAAACAGTGACTACAACAGTGACCAAGCCAACAAAACCAGTGACTACAACAGTGACCAAGCCAACAAAACCAGTGACTACAACTATGACCAAGCCAAAAAACCAGTGACTACAACAGTGACCAAGCCAACAAAACCAGTGACTACAACTATGACCAAGCCAAAAAGCCAGTGACTAAATCTATGAACAAGCCAACAAAACCAGTGACTACAACTATGACCAAGCCAAAAAAAACAGTGACTACAACAGTGACCAAGCCAACAAACCAGTGACTACAACTGTGACCAAGCCAACAAACCAGTGACTACAAAAGTGACCAAGCCAACAAAACCAGTGACTACAACAGTGACCAAGCCAACAAAACCAGTGACTACAACTATGACCAAGCCAAAAAAAAACAGTGACTACAACTATGACCAAGCCAACAAAACCAGTGACTACAACTATGACCAAGCCAACAAAACACATAGTCAAAACTGTGACTACAACTATGATTAAGCCAACAAAACCAGTGATTACAATTATAACCAAGCCAACAAAAACTGACTACAACTATGACCAAGCCAACCAAACACTCACCATAGAGGTATCTGCGGGGATCCTGGCTGTAGCCATCCAGCATGTCTCGTTCATCATAAGCAACAACATCTGCACCTAGAGGGGGTAGTGGCAACACAGTGACTATATCTATGACCAAGCCAACAAAACCAGTGACTAATCACACTTTGTATTTAACAGCATCTGCACCTAGAGAGAGTAGTGGCAACACAGTGACTAATCACACTTTGTATTTAACAACATCTGCACCTAGAGAGAGTAGTGGCAACACAGTGACTAATCACACTTTGTATTTAACAACATCTGCACCTAGAGAGGGTAGTGGCAACACAGTGACTAATCACACTTTGTATTTAACAACATCTGCACCTAGAGAGAGTAGTGGCAACACAGTGACTAATCACACTTTGTATTTAACAACATCTGCACCTAGGGTAGTGGCAACACAGTGACTAATCACACTTTGTATTTAACAACATCTGCACCTAGGGTAGTGGCAACACAGTGACTAATCACACTTTGTATTTAACAACATCTGCACCTAGAGAGAGTAGTGGCAACACAGTGACTAATCACACTTTGTATTTAACAACATCTGCACCTAGAGAGGGTAGTGTCAACACAGTGACTAATCACACTTTGTATTTAACAACATCTGCACCTAGAGAGAGTAGTGGCAACACAGTGACTAATCACACTTTGTATTTAACAACATCTGCACCTAGAGAGAGTAGTGGCAACACAGCGACTAATCACACTTTGTATTTAACAACATCTGCACCTAGGGTAGTGGCAACACAGTGACTAATCACACTTTGTATTCAACAACATCTGCACCGAGAGAGGGTAGTGGCAACACAGTGACTAATCCCACTTTGTATTTAACAACATCTGCACCTAGGGTAGTGGCAACACAGTGACTAATCCCACTTTGTATTTAAAAACATGCACAGATACCATGACACCCACTGATTATATATAAAATGAACCCACTGATTATACAATGAACCCACTGATTATACAATGAACCCACTGATTATACAATGAACCCACTGATTATACAATGAACCCACTGATTATACAATGAAGCCACTGATTATACAATGAACCCATAGATTTTACAATGAACCCACTGGATTATACAATAAACCCACTGATTATACAATGAACCCACTGATTATTCAATGAACCCACTGATTTACCAATGAACCCACTGATTATTCAATGAACCCACTGATTTAACAATGAACCCACTGATTATACAATGAACCCACTGATTATATAGTGAACCCACTGATTATACAATGAAACCATTGATTATACAATGAACCCACTGAATATACAATGAAACCACTGATTATACAATGAACACACTGGATTACACAATGAACCCATTGATGAACCCACTTGATTACATAATAACCACACTGGATTACACAATGAACCCACTGATTATAGAAAGAACCCATTCATTATACAATGAACCCACTGACTATACAATTAACCCACTGATTATACAATAAACCCACTGATTACACAATGAACCCACTGATTATACAATAAACCCACTGATTACACAAAAACCCACAGATTATACAATAAACCCACTGACTATACAATGAACCCACTGACTATACAATAAACCCACTGACTATACAATGAACCCACTGACTATACAATGAACCTACTGATAATACAAAGAACCCACTGACTATACAATAAACCCACTGATTTTACAGTGAACCTTAGTGATCATGATCATACAATGAATCCAATTATTTGACAATAAATCCAATTATTTGACAATGAACCCACAGAAGATTAAAATATCAATATATTTCTAGACAACAACTGAGGTAAGATGTGTCTCAATATTTATAGAAGACATCTGAAGTAAGACATGTCTGAATATCTCTAGAAGACATCTGAGGTCAGACATGCCTGAATATTTCTAGAAGACATCTGAGGTAAGATGTGTCTCAATATTTCTAGAAGACATCTGAGGTCAGACATGCCTAAATATTTCTTGAAGACTCTGAGGTAAGATGTCTCAATATTTCTAGAAGACATCTGAGCTCATACATGTCTGAATATTTCTGTTTCTAGAAAACATCTGAGGTAAGACGTGTCTCAATATTTCTAGAAGACATCTGAGCTCATACATGTCTGAATATTTCTGTTTCTAGAAAACATCTGAGGTAAGACGTGTCTCAATATTTCTAGAAGACATCTGAGGTAAGACATGTCTGACTATTTCTGTTTCTAGAAGACATCTGAGGTCAGACATATCTGAATATTTCTAGAAGACTTGGAGGTTAGACATATCTGAATATTTCTAGAAGACATCTGAGGTAAGACATATCTGAATATTTCTAGAAGACATCTGAGGTCAGACATGCCTGAACATCTCTAGAAGACATCTGAGGTCAGACATGCTTGAATATTTCTATTTCTAGAAGACATCTGAGGTAAGATGTGTCTCAATATTTCTAGAAGACATCAGACATGTCTGAATATTTCTATTTCTAGAAGACATCTGAGGTAAGACGTGCCTCAATATTTCTAGAAGACATCTGAGATCAGATGTGTCTGAATATCTCTAGAAGACATCTGAGGTAAGACATGTCTGAATATCTCTAGAAGACATCTGAGGTCAGACATGTCTGAATATCTCTAGAAGACATCTGAGGTAAGACAGGCCAGTATGCCGAAATTTGTTTGCTTCCACAGACTATGGTCCATTAAGAACATGAGGAATGCAAACAAATATGATTTTTGTGAAAATGAGAACAGTAAGTATAACTACCTCCAGAAGGGGAAGGTTCACGAAAGTATGGATCATCACTGTGCCTCATGTGCTCAGAATCACGGCTATGTTGTTCTCTGAATGGATCGTCAGCAAACGGGTCAGCTCTGACAGGAGGTAGCCCATCGTAGTGTCGCTGAACATTGACCATATAATCATCTGTGAGGTTCGGATCCCTCTGGAAAGAGTCATTGATACGGGAAGGTGGCCTGTTGTGGAAACTATCCCTAGAATAGCTGGCATTGCCTGGCTGGTCAAAGCTGTGTCGTTCCCTAGCAACATCCGAGTACCTGTCTGGTGATGGTGGTCCCTGGTAGGGCTCCTGAGCCAGATCATGGAATGAGCTATGTGGGTGCTGCAGATGTGCAGGACTGGGTTGGAATGAGTCGTTGTAAGGGTCCTCCTGTTGCTCCCACTGATCTCTGTTCTCCACGTCTGACTGGTGGGAGTACTGGGGGTGGTCGTCGGGGTACTCCATGTAATCATCTGGCGGACCCAGGCTCTGGTTGTAAGTATCTTCCGGGTAATGAACTCCTCCGTTGTATCTAGGTGGGTTGTCATGGAAACGGGGGTTTACATAAGACTCTGTGTAGTTGCCACTGTGATGTGCGTCTGTATGAGGACTTGGCTGGAAACTACTGTGGCTGCCGGCATAAGAACCCTCCCTGGAAAAAACATGGAAGTGTGGGTTCCAGTGAAAACACTTGTATAACATGATCAAGAGAAAGTGTGGGTACCAGTGGAAACACTTATATAACATGATCAAGAAAGGCTGGTCAGCATCAAATGGTAGAGACAGCTAGAGAAAGGCCTGGCAGACATTATCATCAATAGGGACAAATGAGAGGCAGTTAGAGAAAGGCACCAGCGTAGAGAAAGACGAGGCAGAAACTGGACTACTGAAGAGTGAGAGTCAGGTGGTCATAGGGACGGGTGCGACAGAGATGAATAGATATAAAACAGAAATGGGGGAGTGGGTGGAAGTCAGAAATAAAGTGACTGCTAAATAGGGCAAAGTAAGTGTGTATGTGTGTGTCTCAGAGAGAGAGATAGAGAGAGAGACAGAGCGACAGACACAGAGAGAGAGAGAATTAACAACAAAGGAGGTCACTGCTTTCATGGCATCAACAGGCAGATCAGAAATCCCTACTGATCTGTGCTTCAGTGCAATACTGCTCACATCTGCTACTTCTACCAGTAACATTTCTGGTTCTACTGTGGCTGTTGTCTCCTCCATGTTCGTGACAACAATATCTGCAGTTCTGCCTTTCTTCTGAAAGCTAATTCTTTCTAATATTCCCCCATCTCTTTAACCACTTTAGGACCCAGGATAAGTTGCATGTCCTCTTTCATTATTTAGTATTTCCTTTGTATTGTATTCCTCACTGTGTTGTCTTATAACTCTCACTTTCATGTAGTAAATTTGTATCTGCTGTTTTTCTTCTTCTCCTACCAAGCTGTTACCATGAATCTTTCTTGGCTCTTCTTACCATACGGCTCAAGGCTCTCTGCAGCTTTCTAGCAGTCCCCTGTTCACTCAGTGAATCACAGCAGTATTCATCTGTACAATCTACAAAAGCCCACCTTTTTATTCTGGGTAGGTATACCCTAACTCACCCATTTCTGTTGTTACAGAGAAAATTAATAGAAGCCCTGCCCCACTACACATACAGCTGAATGGTTCTGCCCTGAATCAAGTTAGGGAGTTTAAATATCTAGGAAGTATGATCACAGAAGATGGTAGAATTGACAGGGAAATAGAAAGCAGATGTCAGAAGGCAAGTGCACCTATATACCAATTGTCACCATTATTCAGACATCCAAGCATCACTATGAGTGCAAAGAGACTGATTATTAATAGCATATTCATTCCAACATTAAGCTACCAGTGCCAAACATGGACACTATCTAAAGCCCATATATGCAAAAATCATCACCTGCGAGATGAGGTGACTGAGAAAAGCAGCCAACCTAACCATACGAGATAGAGTGAATAATGAAACTATCAGGCAAATTGTGGGAATGACACCTTGTACTAGATTCATCGAGAAACAGCAGATTAAGTGGTTTGGCCAACTCGTTAAAATGCAGCAAGATCAGATACCATCACGAGCACTACATCTCAGAAGATCAACTACAAGAGCAAGAGGACTGACGCGGAAAACATGGATTATCAACATTAAAGACACTCTATGCCTTCATGGCATGACAATAGCCAGTGGCAGCCAACGTGCACTGGATCGCAAATTATTCCTCCCCACGATGCTTAACGGCAGAAGTGGTTTATGATATGATGATGATGACAGAGAAAATGGAAAGACACAGAAGAAATACAGAGAGAATGGAAAGATACAGAGAGAATGGAAAGATAGACAAAACAGAAACACAAGAAACAGAAAAAATGAAAGGTTAGAGAATGAACAAACTTGACTTTCAAAAGGGTTTCAATTTGAGAAAGTCTCCATATTTGGATTTCTCCAACCACTCATCTTTCAAAAAGGAACCAATAGTACATCCCTGTTGCGCGCTGATTTGGGTAAAGTGTGATATTGTGGGAAGGGACAATGGTATGCCTGTACTTCCTGTAAGTTCACGAGGAAAGAGTGTCAATATGATCCGAGTATTGAGAGGAGACCAGTGAAAACGTCTATTCATGAACAAGGCGTGCTTGCACGAGAGAAAGTGGACGCGTAGGATTCTGTGTGGTGGGCTGAAAGCGTGGATAACGAGATAAAGTGTGAATTAAGTGACAGCGTGATTCTCGGGTAACATCAGCCACCCACATAAGCGTGATCCTCGGGAACGCTCACATGAGTGAGTCCCGAGAACACCCACAGGATCATGATTCACAAGAACGCCCACACAAGCGTGCCTCTCGTGTAATCACCATCCACCTACACGGATTCGACATATATAAATTGGGCTGCGTAGACAGTCCAGAGAGTGAGCTGTAGCCTGAGGGCTAAAGCCCCTCGGGGGCAGTAGATAGAGCGAAAAGCGAGAAGAGAGAGAAAACGAGAGTCAGAGACCAAGTCAGGGTCCAGGTAATCTCTCGAGTCTACAGACAAACATACCGTACGACTATCGGGCATTTAGGTCCGAGTAAGCGTCGAGATTGCGGTACATGTCAAAAGTATGAGAGGACTTATGATAGAAGTCCTGTCGGTCATTGGAGTCTAACCGACTAGAATACCGTACGACTATCAGGCATTTATGTCTGAGTAAGTGTCGGGATTGCGGTATGGAAAATAAGGTCCCGCTGGCAGAGTAAGTCCAGGGGAAGGGAAGCCCAGTAGTGGCTGATTTCGGAGTACGGCAAGAGAAGTCCGTCTCCAGTCAGCCGTGTTGTATGCTGAATTAATATCAAGGTCCAGTGAATGGGAGGAGTCGTCCTGTTCAGCTGTACGACGCGTCCAGAGAGTGGGACGCCGTCATCCTGGTATCTGCAGTAGTCTAGGAGAGGTCACTACACATTGAGAGATAGAGAGCTGTGAGGACAAATGAACGATGTGCGAATGTCAGCTGTGATCAATAACTACGTATCTGCATTTGTGTCATGTATCCTGTTAAATAAACTTGTATGACGGTGTCATCGTCGTCGAGTTGTCTTGTTAAGAAAGGAAGCTGAAGAGTACCTGCTAGATACTTGGTAGTGTGCTGACTCAATTTAGCACAAAACAATCCCATATTTTGTGTAGCGGTATATGAATGCTGAGCATATACACACTACAGACTCAACATGCCTAGAGACTAAAGCAAAACAGCAGCAAAGTTGTCAAACTTCACTAAATAAATCAACAACAGCAGCAAAGCTGTCAACCTACACTCAGTAAATCAACAACAGCAACAAAGTTGTCAAACTAAAGTCAGTAAATCAACAACAGCAACAAAGTTGTCAAACTAAAGTCAGTAAATCAACAACAGCAGCAAAGCTGTCAACTTACACTCAATAAATCAACAACAGCAACAAAGCTGTCCAACCACACTCAATAAATCAACAACAGCAGCAAAGCTGTCAACCTACACTTAGTAAATTAATAACAGCAGCAAAGCTGTCAAACTACACTCAGTAAATCAACAACAGCAACAAAGCTGTCAACCTACACTCAGTAAATTAACAACAGCAGCAAAGCTGTCCAACCACACTCAATAAATCAACAACAGTAGCAAAGTTGTCAACCTACACTCATTAAATTAACAACAGCAGCAAAGCTGTCAAACTACACTCAGTAAATCAACAACAGCAACAAAGCTGTCAATCTACACTTAGTAAATTAAAAACAGCAGCAAAGCTGTCAAATTACACTCAATAAATCTACAACAGCAGCAAAGCTGTCCAACCACACTCAATAAATCAACAACAGCAGCAAAGCTGTCCAACCACATTCAATAAATCAACAACAACAAAGCTGTCCAACCACACTCAATAAATCAACAACAGCAAAAAGCACAAATGATCAGATTCACAAGAACATCATAGAAGGAATGCTACAATCTGAGCTGTGAGTGTAGTCTTCACAACTGTGAGGGAAGCATTTACAACTGTACAACTGATTATGTGTGATGTGAGAGAAGCAATCACAACTATAAAAGTGGCTATGTGTGATTTGTGAGAGAAGCTATCACAACTGTGGTTATGTGTGACAAACTATGACAAATATGTTAGTGGATATGAGTGGAAACTATTACAACTATGTTAGTGGATATGTGTAACAAACTATTACAACTATGCTAGTGGATATGTGTGATAAACTATTACAACTATGCTAGTGGTTATGTGTGACAAACTATTTCAACTATGCTAGAGGTTACGTGTGACAAACTATTACAACTATGCTAGAGGTTATGTGTGACAAACTATTACAACTATGTTAGTGGATATGTGTAACAAACTATTACAACTATGCTAGTGGATATGTGTGATAAACTATTACAACTATGCTAGTGGTTATGTGTGACAAACTATTTCAACTATGCTAGAGGTTACGTGTGACAAACTATTACAACTATGCTAGAGGTTATGTGTGACAAACTATTACAACTATGCTAGAGGTTATGTGTGACAAACTATTACAACTATGCTAGAGGTTACATGTGACAAACTATTACAACTATGCTAGAGGTTATGTGTGACAAACTATTACAACTATGTTAGTGGATATGTGTGACAAATTATTACAACTATGCTAGTGGTTATGTGTGACAAACTATTACAACTATGCTAGTGGATATGTGTGACAAACTATTACAACTATGCTAGAGGTTATGTGTGACAGACTATTACAACTATGCTTGAGGTTATGTGTGACAAACTATTACAACTATGCTAGTGGTAATGTCTGACAAACTATTACAACTATGCTAGAGGTTATGTGTGATAAACTATTACAACTATTCTAGTGGTTATGTGTGACAAACTATTACAACTATGCTAGAGGTTATGTGTGACAAACTACAACAACTATGCTAGTGGTTATGTGTGATAAACTATTACAAATATGCTAGTGGTTATGTGTGACAAACTATTACAACTATGCTAGTGGTTATGTGTGACAAACTATTACAACTATGCTAGTGGATATGTGTGACAAACTACAACAACTATGCTAGTGGTTATGTGTGACAAACTATTACAACTATGCTAGTGGTTATGTGTGACAAACTA